GCTGATCATGCTTCTCGACATGTAGCTAGAAGGTTGTATTATGAATTAGTGGTGTGATAAGTGTTGGTGTAACATGTTATGAGTTAGCTAACAGGAATCGGTACTTGATTAAGTCTGTGTGCTTGTAAGCGCTGACCAGTAGAGATTCAGTTCAATCCTGGAGAAATTCATGTTTCTTTTAAAGATTTCAATGTGTCACTGATTGTCAAAGTAAGAGGTTGCACTAATAAACCACCTCTCATATCAATTTAGAATACACAGACAGAATGACGAACAGAGAATAAATTTCTTTCTGATTCCGGTCAAAATGAAGTAGTTATGTAAATTGTGCAACTGGCCCGTTTTCAAACAGAAATCAAGTAACATAGACATTCTGTATAGAAGGCAGTTTAGTTTAACTATCCATCTGAGGGAAGACAACACCATGAGAAACTGGAGGGATTGTCAGTTGATTAAAACCATTGTGATTTGGAAAAAATTTATTCGTCGTATAGTGCAGATGTCGAAAAATTTGAGTGAATATGCGTTCATTGTTCAAGTGTCATCAAGTCTGACCTTTAAATACTAAAACTTTTTACTTTGACAGTTGCACACATCGACCAGTTAGAAAAACATTTTTTGAATTTCAAGTTGTTATTCATCGAAGACTGACATCAGTTGGAGGAACAAAGGAAACCTGGGAGCACTGGACAGCTGTTTCGTCCTAGTATGAGACTCCTCAGCAGTGCGCACTGCTGATTAAAATGCAGTAACCTGAAACTCGTGTATGCACAAATGATAAGCATAGTGAAAAAGAAGACTCCCAGTCGAATACTCTCCTCTCTCTCTCTCTCTCTCACCCTGATAATTAGACTGGAAGCAGAAAATTATTGAATTTCAAGCTAATAGCATGAGTTCATGATTGTCTTTGCTGATTTATTTTTGTAATAACCATGAAATCCCATTTTGTTTTGAAATTGTAGGGGGAAATGAGGTTAAGGTTATTTGAGTACACGGTAGACTTTGTGTTGTATCAGTCAGACAATAGGGTATTAGAGAATAATTGTCATTTGAAGAAGTAGAAGATATTATATATTACAATATTACAAGGCTGTGCATGCTCCATTCGACAGCTAAAAGGCTGAAGGTAGAGCTCCTCTAATTCCTTATAGTTTCTCATTGATTCCACTTCAAAGATCACAGCTGCTATCTGACTAGCGTAGAACTAATCTAGACAACACTTTCCTCCTACAGCCTGTTTAAAGCTTTGGGTGAGGATGGAACAAATGACATCTACAATCCATTTGATTACTTGTTGTGCTAACTAGCCAACAGTTGAGTACTATGCTACTGCATCAAATTAGTAGTATTGCTGTAGTCAGAGTAGAGTCCACACCAAGCATGGAAATTTCGCAGATAACCTCTAAAACACCAAACTAATAACCTGTGAAAGTAAAACATGGCCAATATGGTAGAGTATAATTCCATATTCGATTGTTTATTTGATATACACTACACAGAGATAGATTATTGTTTATTGGATGACATTTCGAGGATAATCTATTGTTCATGTTTACATCAAAATGATTACATAACATTCAAACTCCCCTCATATCACAACTAGACTATATGAGGATATTAACCACAGTCTGTAGACACAATTATGAACAAGAATAAAAAGGTACACAGTTGATGTAGTCCACCGAGTGAAACCATCTCCCGGTGACTCTCTACCGTTGAATTTATTGTCTGAGAATAGTAATCTCAGTAGAATGTATGGCATCATTAAGATGGTTGACATATTGTGAGCGTCGCCTGTATATATTTAGGTGAAATAACTATGGCCTATTATAAATCTGTTGTAGTCCAGGCTCACCAATTCCTTTGAATTGAATCACAGACTAAATAATATATGGAAATACAAGAGGGAGAAAAGATGGACAGCTTTAATGTGATGAGCCTCTGCCCGGTAAAATAACTTTTGTTTGACAAGTACAAGCCAAACAGCAACCAACAGTTCTCTGATTCCATAACTTTACAAGTAAGCATATTTGACCAGTATAAAGTCACCCAACGAGGATTTGTTGGCCAGCGATTTGAATAAACTAAGATCTGTGGTGCAAATGGTGGCCAGCAATGGCATCTTGAACCTGGATTATGACCCATTCGGGACTATTCAGCTGGATGTTCCTGTTCCTCACATAATTATATCTTCTACAATGACATCCCAACCCACTATCCATCGCTTTGTGTGGCAAGGAGCTATCTAATAAACCCTAGTGACATAGGTTATCACAATATAATGAATTTTCAGTCAATATTCAGACATTTGCCTAAGCAGACCATCCACCAACAGACATCGATTAATACGAACCAGTACAAACGTTGTGAATCACAAGTATCAATAAACATAAACCAACATCTGATTCAACCAAACTTCTCGCTGAATAGTCGAACCACCTCATTTTGTTCACCTACTAAATATCAGGTTGCCTAAAGTGCTGTTCTACCTTTACACCTAATAATTTCTACTACTTGCTACGAGAATTTCATTACTCTGCAAAACTTCACATAAATATTTCAATTTGTTCAGTGCTACAGGCAGGCATGTGGTATGCATAACCCAATCATTTTACCTATTCTTTGAAAAATATATATAAATCAACAAATACTCTACATCACTACTTCCTTCCTGATCCAGTTTCCTATCGGTCTGCCAAATTGTTTCTCTCGAAATCGACGTGGAACTTCTTATTCTCACTGTCACTGAAAAACAACAAACTGGTACAAACTGTTGCTTGATTGGAGGCAATCGGTAGGAAAGCGTATCTGCAATGTTCAAGAAACTCATGTCACTTGACGATTAACTCCAAACAAACTAATATGGTGAGCTTCGTAACTTTGCGGGTGGTCATAGAAGTTGGCTCAATTAATTCAGTCACCTTTTTAACTTAGAGAGGTTAGATATTCCTAATGGATTCAAAATCTGTGAAGGAGGAGAGAGATTTAAATTAATTTTCAAATTAATTTTCAAAATGTCCCAGAATATTGGCAATTAGTTTTACACTACTCACAAGTAGGCTGTTATTTGACCGAAAATCTAACCTTCTGAGCATACTTCACCTATGGTCAGTTAAAGTCATCATTTGGACTACCGGTGACCAGTGAATGGTTACTTCTGTGACTAAATTCCATTTTTTGTTCGAATTTAATGGCATTGGAAATACTAGTATGAAATCTAAAGTGAAGAATAATGATGACACAAAAATAATTTGAGGATATTAGAGGTAACCTTAAGTTTGGTATCCATTGTTCGCTTCGTATAATTCATTCAATAATACGTCGTCATTCATTATGTGTACATAATCCACCCAAGAATAACAAATATCATATCTAGGAACGAAAATATATCTTATTTTCGTAAAATTGTTGGTGGGACCATCTGAGAAAGCCGTGCTTTAGGAAACTGGTAGTAGAACATAAACTGACAACTCAGTTCCCAACCCGTCTGCCGAATCAAGATTACTCCATATATTACTATTAAGAATCATTATGACGATCTACCTCTCTTATTCATCTCCATTTGAATTAGGATGTGAAACCTGGCTGGGTGAATAGTGTAGTTACGATGAAAGTTCACTTAGATATTACACTATCAAATTACAGGCCGATGAAAGTTTCAGTGACTGGAATGAATTCAAGACCTCTTCAGAAACTGGATCTTTTATCTCAACTGGTAGGGTATCAGGTCTGTGTTCCGAAGGCCACTTGTTCGTAACCTATCCCACCCCAGTGAGTAAAGAACTTTGAACAATGCAAGAACAAAGACATTTACAGAATGAAATGAGCTCATTTTATTTCGTAGATTTTATTCAGCAGAAAATAACCTACAGTTCAGTTGAAATAGTGGTAGTAATAATGACACAACTTAATTTGATTAGTTAGAAATAAATGAAGATTCGAAATCTAGGTTTACCAATATGGTAGTGAGTGAGTGAGTTGAGGAAACACAGGATTAATAATCACAAACCTTAACCAAACCAATGACAATTTATGTCTGATGAGGCGGGAAATTCTAGAGTTGTGAAGTGGGGGGGGGGGAAGACAACAAACAAATATCAGAGTAAAAGAGGGGACCGTTTAAGAGAAAAACTAGAAAAACTTTTGGTTGGGTAGTTAACAGTCAGTAATTATTTAATGAAGAGATGATGCAACCAAAAGAAAAGAGAAGACTATATACATAATATTACATACAGTTCCCAGGGTAGAGAAAGGTCAGATTGAAAATGTTTGATGGCAAGAGCAGAGCTTCCACAAACGGTAATAAACTTTATATTCTTTGTTTGTTGATTATCCGGAAGGATTGTGAAACATCTATTGATGTCCTGTTTCCATCAAGTGCCTGGTGATTGTGTTGGTAAAGATCTCACTACGTTTAAGACGCAGATACGCTCATAAAACTGGGTTAACGCCCTTCTTTCGGTCCATCATATGTACTCACTTTCACAAGCATACGTGAACTGATATACATAATTGGAAGTGATGTGAGATGGGTATTTGTCCTCTTTCGACTGTGTTATTCGAAAATGCTGTATAGTAAACATATCAGTCTGGCAACAGGGAAGCTCCTTATCAACTCAGCTATTATTCTTCAATCTATTCTTCCAGATGTCGCATCACCGTTGAATGTCAAAGGAAGGAAAACAAGTTTCTTCCAGCAGTTGGATGTTTGGGTCTCTCAATAAATTCTTTTCCATACTTCATGATGAATTTCTTCAGATATTTATCCTCTGTTACAGCCTTCTGAACGATACCAAATTATTCCAGTTTATCTTCTAAGCATAGCATTCTTATTCTTGTGAAAAGCGTCCTCCTTAAACCACGTTTATATATCTGACAGGACAGATCCATTTTCATATTCCATTTTAGAGTTCCTATTTGAATGAGGTTGGTTGAAGGTGTCAAATATCTTTGACGCATGATTCATATTATCACAAATAATGAAAGTATCATCAACATACCTGCGGTAATATGTAGTTTCTTCGATCGCAGAGTTCAAACATGTTCGTTCTAGGTAAGCCATGAATATATCACCTGGATAGGGTGCCACTGGTGAACCCATAGACATTCCATTAGTTTGCCAGCACAGTTTATTATTAAATTGGAACTGAACACTTTGTACAGAGCAGCAGTAATTGTTTGAGTTCTGTTTTTTTCTGCAATGGGGGTAGAACAGACTTATTCCTAATCCTGAATTTCGAATGTTTATTTATTTCTATATAAATAAAGTGCGTTATATCTTTATTACTACCAATAATTCATTTCAACTGTAGGCTTTTTGCAGTTGACGAAAGTTTGTGGAATAAAATAACCTCAGTTGATTTTGAAATAGTGAAGAATATTTGTGGCTCAGGTGGATGGTCTTGGTTGTATTGTGTTCTGTGAGCTGGGTTGTTTAACCGTTAAGCTATCATCGTCTTTCTAGACGATATCATACTGAAGTTAGTGCTGATGATGTCGTCTGTGAAGACGATGAAAGCTTCATGGTTAAACAACCCAGTTAAAATAACCTTATTTTATTCCGCAAATATCTTTGTTCTTGCATTATTCAAATTTGTCAAGAAAACACAATGTATGAGAACATGTCTGTTAAGCCTACTGGTTAGCACGTTACTATGCATCAACTGTAGTGGAGTCATAAAGTCCACAATCTCCTACTTATGTTTAATAGGTGATATAGAGTGAACACCACGTAGTGCGATTGACAAGTAATCACTCCCATACTCGACTTGGTCCTTTCCACAGGTCATGACTTGTCATCAGAGCTTTGGGTAATCAGTCTTGAAGCAAGTAATTGCTTATGAATATTGAACAGTAAGTTACTTTGGAAAACAACCAAAAACCTGCGGAGCACTGGACAGCTGTTTCATCCTAGTGTAGGACTCCCCAGAAGTGCAAAGTAAATGGATTTAAATGCTCTTGTCTGCAACTTTCCTCTCTTTGAAGTTTTCTCACCCTTCGACTACTATTTGTCACTTTGACTGTTTCAAAATTAAAAAGTTACCGGTTTATAACACTTTCTGGATAACCACTTGACCTTCAGGGGTCAAAGTGTTTTACTCTTTCAGGGAAATACCCTACACTATGATTTCTCCCTGTTTGTTACTGATTAAAAGTGGTAAAAACGAGTCTAGTTAGATGGGTAATGAAAAGTTACATAATAGTTCCACTTCGAGTACTTGATTGCATACATATCTGAGCTTCGGTATATTATTGACAGCGTCCAATTTATGTATAATTTGATGGACTTATTCAATCTGCAGTCGATTGATGTTCGAGTCGCAGATGAAACGTAGCATGCGAAAGTTCTTTAATACACTTCATACCTGAGTTAAGAAAGCGTCTTCCTTTCGAATTTCCATTCATGATTATTTTCGTCGCTCACATTAGAAAAAACATGTAATGTGTACAATGTTTCCACTGCATCCAGAAGAAGACACTTGGTCGACAAATGTAACAGAAATCTACCGCAATAGAGTTTGGTGTTATTTCAATCGGATTCGCATATATTTCATATGATCTGATAAGCCTAACGTAAACGATATTTCCAAGATTGCAATCGGTGAAGAAATTCCACTAATGGAGTGGTCGTAATAACAATAAAGATTGTGACTAGCAGTGAAATGCAAGACGCGCATTTCTTTCAATTTAGAAATAGTCAGCGGGATGTACCTGCACTCAATGAGACTCCAAACCATTGACCGAAATGCCAAAGCGTTGTCTACTAGACCACTCAGAGGTTCAGTGAATTGGCGCTGCATAGCAACGGGAGATTAAAAGTCTTATAACAATGATGGTCATAGCTACAATGATTATGCAAGTTGAAGACGTAGGGGATAAATGCTAATGAAAAAGGGTAAGTAACGATCTTTCTAATGGTTCAATTGGTGCATATAGATTACAGAATGAAGAACACATTGCAAAGCTCATCAACAAACAAAGAATTAAGTAATATGAATGAGGCTAGTTAATTAAAACGTTTGTATTCCTTATTAAACCATGCCATTCCCTGTTAATCAACTTCATGTAACTGCGAGAAAGTTGTTAGCAGCTGATGAGAAGTCTGTGAAACAAAATGGCACCGTATTATTCTACTTCAATCGCTGAGCTTTCTATTTTGAAGCTGATGCAGAGAAAAATGTATATGCAGTTTCTGAAGAAACACTTCTCTTCCAAACTGTTTCAGTAAATTGAATATCTTGGTGATAACACAATGCTGACTATGCTGAATCCCTAAGCCTAAGTTACTTTTCTCATTAACTCATCGAATTACTTCATTCATGTAAACTACCTTCTTCTCTTACAAATCTTTGATATATCACTAAGTCTCATATCCTACCAACAAAAGAACTTGCTGCCAAGTTTTAAAAAAAACAGACGCCAGTGCTATTGAAGAATTGGTTGAAGTATCGAACATTATATGCCGGATAATCAGGATATACAGCGTAAAACATGCAAAAAATTTTAAAGGACTCAGTCAAAGACTTTGATTACATAAAAATTGTATGATCACTCTTTTGAAAAAATCCTAAGAAATAAATCTTCAGCTAGCCAAGTGTAAAATTAAATTCAATCGAAAGTGGAGTACTTTCATTACGATTTAAGTATCATGTGTCTAATAAAGTGTCAAGTAGGACTGATAGAGAGGCAGAGTTCAAGAATTTATTTCATCCTGAAGAGACTAAAGGATGTGCTGGATTCAAAACTACTACCAGAACAGGTTGGCTGGATTCAGGAAGTACAAATCATGTGCCGACCAAATTGCAACTCTACGCTACGCATCATCATGGAGGAGAGCATACAATGGCAGTCAACTGGATCTTCACCTCAACTTCATCGACTTTGAAAAAGCTTTCGACAGTGTCGATCGAGAAGTAATTTGACAGGCAACTGCTGCTTCAACACTACGGAATACTGCAAACCTTTATCAACCTCATTCAACAACTATGTGAAGACACCACATGCCAAGTAATTCACAATGGGAAGCTGAGTGATGCTTTTGAAGTGAAGACAGGAGACAGAAGTAAGACAAGGGTGCTGCCTACTATCACCCATGATCTTCCTGTTTGTGTTGTGGTCGACTGGATCATGCAACAAACAACGTCGAGCGGGAAGAGGGGAATGCGCAAGCTAGACCGGGGAAAAGAACCTAGAAGACTTGGATTTCACCGATGACTTGTGTGTGATGTTACACAAACTCGAAGATCTACAGGTGAAAACTAACAAGTTGACAGAAGAGGCGAGGCAGTGATGACGGGACTTCCTTCAGGTGAACGTAGAGAAGACACAGGTGATGAAGACAGCTAACCAACGCCACCACCATCACCACCACCAACAACAACAAGCTCCAATCACCATCAGTGGGAGAACTTTAAAGGAAGTAACTTCTTTCACCTATGTAGGCGGCACTGTTTCAACTACAGGCGGCAGCACAGACGAGGATGTCAAAGCCAGCCAAGACCGGAAAGACAGCAAGACGGGCGTTCATTAGCCTGAAACCAGTGTGGAGATCTTCTGCACTCAGCATGTGGAACAACATCCAGATTTTCAACATCAATTCAGTCAAGTCACTGCTTCTATGTGATGGTTGAGAGATTTGGCAAGTTACGAAAAGCATTTCTAACAAACTCCAGATATTCATCAACAACTGCTGCCTACGTTGGCTCGTTGCTGAAGCTCAGATGGCCAGAATAACAAGAATAAGCAACAAGGAACTCTGGTTGGCAACGAACCAACGAAGCAAGAACCTATCACTCAACAAATATGCAGAAGGAAGTGGAGATGGATTGGATTGGGCATGGACTGAGAAGACGATTCGGGGACATCACGCTCAGGTCGGGCCCTGGAGTGGAACCCAGATGGGAAACGGCGAATTGGGCGTTTGAGGTGAGGATGACATGTAGGAGATGGTATGAGGAAGAAATGAGAGGTTCAGGGCAGTCGTGGAGCCAGGCTGAAAAGATTGCAGAGAAGAGAGTGGAATGGAGACATGCTAGTGAATCCGTGTGTTCCACCAGGAACCCAAGGGACAAATAATAATATAATAATAAAACTGATAGACTTACATCTGATGAATGACAATGAAAATGGCTTTGTCTAGATTTAAGTTGGTCGGTTACGTGAACCACTATCTTGTTTTACCAAACTCAGAAGCGGAAATCTTGTCCGGAAAACATCCTATAACACTGGAAAACCTCAAGCAGTTGTGTTAATGGATACATCATGAAAATAAAGTCGATTCTTAATGACATAATGAGAAAACTTCAGATTGAATCACCCGGAAACCAAAGCACAAAAATGCTTAAAGAGCTGCTAAAAAGGAAACTGATGGATAAATCTGCATACATAATGTTCTGATGCCTTATATGTGTGATCTGCTGGAGACACATCAGTAAAATGTTTCTTCTAGACTTATACTATCTATGATTAACTGTCCGTCACAAGGTAACTTGTTGGCTTTCCGAAGAGTTCGAATCTATACGTCAATAACTGGCTGCACATAGCCTGAAGGATTTATTCCAGTCAAATTGACATTCGTAAGAAGTTCATTATGACATCTGATGTACATTCTTTGTTCATGAACATTCCTATTCATCAGGCTGCCGATGAAATGAATGTGTTTATGTTATGAAGGTAATAATCACTCTAGCAAGATGTACTAATATGGAGCTGGTAATGATCTTTATCACGCCTTTACTTAGCCACACTGGAAAATATTTGCTCAAAGAGAAAAATAAATTCGCAGAGCCAAGTTCAGCGTAATTGGATCCACAGGAACAGTTGGACTGGTTAACACAACAGGAAGTGGCCAGTTTGAGCAATTTATCATTTAGTCTCGGTATCATAACTGGGTGTGTAGAAAACGTTGTATGTAATTTACCAGCATGAAAGGTTTTCTGAAGTAATTTGAATAGTTTGTGAGTTATTACCGTGAGAAGCACGTCCTCTCAAAAGAACGGTTTTCTGCTAGCTGGTGGAATAACCTTTCTTGTCATTTTTGTGATAATATGCTTGTTTATGAATCTATCAAGGTAGCCATTTTCGATGAGTATGTAGCACAAAGTTGTCAGTTCCCCCTCAGTTGTATCTTCGGAACATGTAGTCTTTATTCTGTAATATAAAGTTTTTTTTAAATTTTCTTACTGAAGGGGACCGA